TGAAATCTCCAGAACGAAATTTGTTGAGCCATTGCCGCACAGTGCTTTCTCTAGCACTATTGGGCCCCCACACCTGGTTAATTTGTTGAGCTGTTTCGATTGCGGATTGCCCCAATTTATAGTCGAAGAAAAAAATCGTCCGAAGTGCTCTTTTCACATGCTTGAAAAAAGGGGGTTCATCAAGCAATGGTGAAACGGCAGTTATACCATCAGATAGCGCAAAGAATTCTCTTCAGGATGTACTACTGAGACGCAAGGGAGAATGAGTTTTTAATCAGCAATGAATGTGCAAAAAATAGTAACACAAAACCTGCAGAACTTTCCGGACAACCTAATAGGAAATCACCCTTAGATCTCATTTTCAGCCTAGTCCGAGATTTTGACTTTACTTCGAAAATTGTAATAACCGTGAAGTGCTCTCAAATGCATTTTACCCTTGTTCAATTACGGCTCACTCCCTCCAGCTTCGTCTTACGGTATTCGACAATCTCAGGTTCATTCGTGCGCTGCTCCAGTATTTGTGATAGATAGAAGCAAACTCCACCATAATAATGGTTACATGTCTCTGCCATCTCTTACAGCCGCTCCCCCATGGGTTTTTTTTCTGGGTTCAAAATCTCATATTTGTCTAGAAACACGTCCTCCGAGGTGATGTGGCTTTATGAACACGAATGTCATATTAGTTTTGTGTAAGAACGCTTATGTGCTGCGGTTGTCGGCTCATCCATATCAACGTGTCATCTGCCAAAGCCTAGAGAAAAAACCATGAAGGAAACAGCCCGGCACTTCTTGAAAGCAGCTCAAATCAGCCGTAAAAAATCACGTCTAGCGATACGTCCTATTACAAAGGCCCCATCGGAAATGACTACTGGAAAACCTGAGCACGGCTTAGTAATTGTTTTAGATTGTGCTGCTCGGATACAGTCTCGGCACAGCAGCTGTAGCAAATTTGGCCAGCCAGTGACCCACCAAGAGTCGTAGGCGTCGTTCTTATTGCTCCGTTCACAAGTGGTATTCGCCTTTTCTGCAACCAGCCCGAAAAGGGTGAGACGAGTAAACTCGACAGATTTTTAACGTAAGTTTATTTATATTTTCTGTGATATGGAATATTCTATGTCCTAAGTTAGTTGAAAAGGCAGTGCGGAAACTTCGGGAACCATTCTGGAGAATAACATGATGTGCTAATCCTCTTCGGAACCCTGCTTGCTTGCATGGCTGTCCTTCGTCTAGTGTTCTGCCAATCCTGTTCAGGATGACTCGCGCGAACTGTTTACAGATATAGACTACAGACAGCAGGCAGATTGGGCGATAATTGCCAATGTTGAACAGGTCTCCCTTCTTGTACAGCAACACAGTCTTGCTGGTTTTCCATAAGGTGGTACCTTGCATTCCGACAGGTAGCGCGTGAAAAGTCAATCCAGAATTTTGACGAGAACTAGCAGGAGATTCTCTAGCTACTCGTACCTGATCCTGTCGAGACCGAGTGTCGTACGATT